CTATATTTCTTTATCTGAGTAACTAATTTGAAGACATCAATATGTAATACAGCCACCACTGTTAATTTCCTATCACCTTGTCTGAAATTCTGCATTGCTTCCATTGCTTTTGTGCTGTTTTGCAAATGTCTGTGGGTTTGTTAATGTGTTTTCATTCTTTTATCTTTAAAATACAAAAGAATAACAACACAGACCAAAGCAAAAACAGTTATGACGCAGGACTTCAGAACAAAATGATAGGACTTAACAGAAGTTGTTGTATTACATATTGTTATGTTCTCGGAAGCTGCTCAGATTACTGGTGTAAGAATGCAGGATTGCTCAAACCATTAAAGAGCATAAGTATCTATTTTTATTACTGCCGGACAGGGTCTCACCGTGGTCTCTGCATCCCCAAGCCCATGGGGATCACTGCCATCTGTCCCGGGCACCCCTCACGCCCCCCTCCAGTCTCTCATCTGCTCTTCCCGGTTACTAACTTTCCCAGCAGCTGGTGATCAGTCCTAAAAGAATAAAGAATCCAAGCTGAGCGTGCTGGTGTCCGCCTGTCACCCCAATGGTCTGGGAGGCTGAGGCAGGAGGACTGCAAGCGTGAATCCAGCCTGGGCAACTTGGTCAATTAGCAAATACTGAGAATAAAAGAAATGTGCCCCAAGGGGCTGGGGGTGCAGCTCAGTGTGAAGGACCTGGGCTTGACTCCCAGAAAGAGGTACAGACGTCCAAACTCACCCCCGGGACCTCAGATGTGCTGTGTGTGGAGACGGTCCTAGAGAGCTGGAGGAGGTAACTGAGTCCCAGGCTGGCCCTGACCCCACAGGATCGGGTCCTGCTGAGAAGGGGACAGGAGCACGCAGACACACATGGAGGATGTGTGTGTGACATACGGGGAGGGGCCAGCACTGTCCTCCCCTGGCCCTCGGGCTCCAGGACAGGGACAGGAGCGTCCCCGCTGGAAGGAACCAGGAGGGCACTGTCATGGCGGCCCAGGAAACAGGCACCTGTCATGTCCAGAAGAACCCACCGAACACCCACACGGGCCCACGCGGCTTCTGAAGCTCTGACCACCTGCGCACCTGCAGAGACCTTGATGGGTACTGCCGTCGCGAGGGGGGTCAGGACAGCCCCGAAGGAGGTTTGGGCTGGAGACCACCCTGTGGCTCGTGCCCCGATCAACCAGAAGGAGGAGAATCAAAGTACAGACACAACCGCATCCCGCCTGTGGGGGTGACCGCCGTGAACCAAAATGGAACAAAGTTAGTGCTGGTGAGGATGTGGGGAAATGGCAACACTCTGTGCAAATGCAGTGGCCGCAAGGGGAGAGAGTTGGGCTCTTCCTGGAGAGTGGAAAGACCTTGGGATCAGGCAACCTCGCTTCTGAGTACACACCCCAAAGACTTGAAAACACGGTGTCAAAGACATTCTGTGCACACCCATGTTCATGCACACCCATGTTTGTAATATCTGAAGCAAGGAAGACATCTACATGTCCGTGGCTGGCTGGCTGGCTGCCCAATGGATGGATGGATGGATGGGTGGGTGGGTGGATGGATGGGTCGATGGATGGATGGATGGGTGGATAGATGGCTGGCTGGCTGGCTGGCTGGCTAGAT